GCTTTCGAAGCCAATCACAGATGCTCCCATTCCTGCTCCCATTTCCCATACGGGAAAGATAATTCACATTCACAAGGCATAGAAGCGTTTATTAAGGTTTAATTAAGTAATAATCGAAGAATCCAAGGTCAAAAGAAGCATTCAATATTTTCAAAATCGATCACAGAAGTTTCTCTGCGAGAAATCCTTCCATAGCTCTATGAGATCGTTTATCGGCTTTTTCATTATATGCAGCACCGGGTATACCCCAGTTCGCTACTCCTAAAGATTTTCCTTCAAAAATTTCAAAAAACAATTTTGTTATTTTAGTTGTAGATGACCGACCGGGTACAGTGAACGCGTGTTGAGCATCAGCATAATATGTGAAATGCCAATCCGCTTCCCGTTCTCTCATTTCATCAAGGAAATTAGCGGCCTGAAAATTAATTATGTACAGATACTGTACGATTACGGTATGCTCGCATCCTGATTGGTAGCGGATCAGTCACCGTGATGTGCCTGGATTGAGGTTCCAGTAGCTCTAAAGTTTTATTCTTGTGTGGGGAGTTACGAGATTATGTATAAACACATTTACGTATTGTTGCCTGGATAATTAGTCAATGTTCCATGAAATGAGACTGCTGCTTGTAGTCCCACATTGAATCGGGCCAGATCCAAGCAGTTCAGTCCACCAAAGCAATAACCAGTGCAGCCTATCTGAAAAGCATAAACATAAAATTGCATGAGCCAAAGAGGTGCCGCCTAACCACGATAAGGCGAAATCACCTTTGCTCCTTGACAAAGGACAAGCTCTTCACATAATCCCATGCTGCTCAAGTTTTACGATGTAAATTGTCATAGTGTTTATATTTTAGGATGAAGTTGGATAATATCCATATCGGCCTCATAGTGGGCAATATCGTCTTCGTCATACTTTCCATGCTATTCGTTATTCTATTCGCTACTAAACACGGTAATTAAAACCTTATTTTAAAAAAACGTTCAAGCTAATAGTAGGACTTAGATAATGCTGATGTAATTTAGACTCTTCTTCCGCTTTCTTACTTTCATCACAAATGCCCGCAGACACAACGGCTGATAGTTTTAAGAATGATGCAAGTGACTACTATACTTACTTGAAGGGAAAACTATAAATAACAGAAAAGAGATTAAATATTTTAGTTGAAAAAATGGCTCGAAGGCAAATATGTGGTAGGCACAATAGCGGCAGAAGCCTTGGGGTGAGTTGTCCCAGTATAAGAAAGAC